TTCTCTTCCTCCCCTCCCTTCTCTCCTTACCTCCCTCCCCGCTCCCCCCTAAAGGCGCCCGACTCTCCTTTTCTCCTTTCCTATTTGCCATTATCTCGTTTTGCGTCGTGTGTGGTATCCAATTTCCTGCTGTGGATCTTCTCCCGTATAGACGCTCGACCGCGCCGGGGAGAGTAAGCCTGAATCCAGGTAAATCGCGCTCAGTACGGAATAGATGCTGGTCTTTGTTGCCTCTCTTTCGCCGCGTATCCCCGAACCTCTGGATGCCGGCCCCCTCTCCTCCTCTCCCCCAACTGTTCCCCTGGCGCAGTAAGGTCTCCCTCCCGCGCGGATGGACGCTGGTTGCTATCGTCTGTCTTTCATCTGTTCGACAACGAATTTGTTTGCTCTCTTAACCTCTTTGCTAGTGCTCCCTCTCATCTTTTCTTTTTTGAGTCTGAAAACCCTTCCTTCGTATGCTGATTCTCTTTGTCTCCCCGACTTTTCCCTCTTTCTCCTGCCTGTCATTACTGCTTTTCAATCCTTCTGTCTTCATCTGATCCTTCTCTTCCTCCGTCATTTGTGGACTTCTCTACCTTCTTCTGGGTGGACCGAAGAAGGAGAGGTGTTTCTTGTTTCGTTTTTTCTCTCTCTGGCTTTCCGATTACTACTCTACTGCGCAGCATTGTGCATCTCAGTCAGCGCGTTCGCTGTCCGCCTGTTTCCGATCTGTTCAGCACGATCGATGTCGGTCTCTTTCCCATCCGCTTAGCGCGGTTGTCGCCCTCCTCTCAGCAATCCGTCTGCGTCAGTGTGTGTCTACCCTTCGGTCATCGTTATGTTTTCATCCCCCCTCCCCCCCGTCCATGGTGAAATTCCCTGCACGGGTGGCTATGCCCGTCGCTCGCTCTGCCTGCAAAGTCTGAATGAGCTCTTCTTTCCCTCCGTGGTAAATCGACCTCCGTCGGCTGCCAACATTTTCTTCGTCCTCTCTTTCATTGCCATCCCTGCAATCGCTCCCATTCACTCGTTCGTTTTGTTCTTTCTCTCCCTCGTTTCTTCTTTTTATCCCTCTAGCTTCATCTCCTCTCCCTTCTTTTCTCTTCGTTCTTTTCTCTCGCTTCTCCTCCCTCTTACGCTCCCTCTTCCTCTCCCTCCTCTTCCTCTCCCTCTTCTCTTCCTCTTCTTCTTCTTCTTCTCCCTCTCCCCCTCCGTCCTCTCCCTCTTCCCGTCCCTCTCCCTCTTCCTCTCCCTCTAGCCGGTAGCATCAGGACCCTCCATTGGGCCAGTCGCTGTGCCTCCGCTGCGGTCCCCTCCCGCTACGAACGTCAGCAGTCTCTTGACATTATCGAATTGTCTTAACTCTTCCGGTCGATTATTGTTGTTGGCCACCTCCTTGCAGGAATGGTGTGGATCGCCGTTTTGAATCAAGTGTTTTCACTGAATTCGGGAGTTGGGTCCTGGTATTGAAGAGGGTTTGGGATCGAAAAGGGCTTGATTTTGTATTAAAATGTTCGTGGACTCGTTATTATTTCTCATTGTCCATGTGCTCCTGTTATGTGGATGGTGCTGTTTGTTCATCGTCGTTAGATTTCTGTGACAACAAGTACATCTGGGAGTGTCGAGCAACTGGTCCCATGGATCCTCTACCACAAGACGCTGGGAGTGGATCAGTTCTACCTCTTTGCTGAAGGCAAGGCTGCAGCTCCAAATGCGACTTCTATATTACGGAGGATTAAGGTGAGGCCATGCGGATGTTTGTCTGCAGGTGGCTGTCTGGAGACGCGCGCGCGCGCACACACACACACACACACACACACACACACACACACACACACACACACAGAGAGAGAGGGGAGTCTATGCGGATGTTTGTCTGCAGGTGGCTGTCTGGAGACGCACGCACACACACACACACACACACACAGAGAGAGAGAGACGCACACACACACACACAGAGGGGGGAGTCTATGCGGAATGTTTGTCTGCAGGTGGCTGTCCGGAGACGCAAACACACACACACACAGAGAGGGAGAGAGAGAGAGAGAGAGAGAGAGAGAGAGAGAGAGGGGGGNGGAATGTTTGTCTGCAGGTGGCTGTCTGGAGACGCACACACACACACACACACACAGAGAGAGAGAGAGAGAGAGAGAGAGAGAGAGAGAGAGAGAGAGAGAGAGAGGCACACACACACACACACAGAGGGGGGAGTCTATGCGGAATGTTTGTCTGCAGGTGGTTGTAGTCTCTTAAGTTCTGGCATCCCTCTCACATTGCGCCTCTAGAATTTAAGAGTTGCATTTGTGGAACTCGGTGCACTTCGCGGGATTGTATGACATTTTTAGTTTGTGTTTCAAGGATGGTGCAAAGTGGTAGTTCTTGCACTGCTAGTTTTATGGCCCCCTCTTGCTGTTGAGTTGTGTATGTAGAGTGTCGTCTTGAAGCCGTGGAGATCATTGATGAGAGAGGCATCTGAAGAAGAAGATCAGAAATGCTGCTCATGATTCCAGCCAGTTGGGTTGGTGCTCCGGACATGTGTTGTGGCATAGTAGCAGGGTTGAGGTGGGTGGGTGGCCGGCCAGTAGTTGGGTGGTATGATAGATGGTGCTTGAGGTGAAGCGTACGTAGTATCTGATGGGCTTGTCTGTTATCTGCGTTTTGTCCTGCATGGCTGCCTGACATGCAGGGTGTGAAAGTCATTGTGAGAGACAAGGAACTTGAAGAGTTGCAAGCAAGGAGGTAAGGACAAGGGATGACTTGTGGCGTCTGGATCTTGAGGGCTTGTTTGCTGATGCTGCTGATGCTCTTATGCATGAGGCTGTTTGGCTCTGTCTCGTGCTACCTTTTTGTCTCCCTCATTCTTGACTGCTCCTGGATTAGTTCGTGTAGTCTGAGCAGAAAACAAGCTTGCTTTACCTTCTGAACCCCTTTGCACTGCTGCCTCTTTCCTCCCTGCACCTGCGCTCCAAGGCCTTCTTTCAAAAGGTATCCCTCCGGCTTCTGTGCTATGCAACCTGTTGCATATGACTGACGAGCTGTGGAATGGAAGGATCGAAGGACAGCATGGGAATTATTTTTTGCATTTTTGGTGCTAGAGGCATGTCAGAGTGACAAGGGACACTTTTGGCGACACGTGTCATGTTGTGAGAGATGTAGTGTAGGGAGGCAATTTGACATCGGGAGGGTCAGGGGTACCTGGGTGCAGGTGGATGTACTCGTCTGTTATCTGACAGACTGCCGTTGATAAATAAGCGGCTAGATGATAGAGAAGTAGCTCATTGCTAAAAAGGGAAAGCAAATCTGCAGGTGGATGTAGAATGCTGAAAGTCTAACCTAGGTTGCCTTATTTGGTTTTCAAGGGGTTCAGTTGTGTATGGACTTTCTGCATTGTTCTTCCCAATGTCTCTGCTCTGATCACTTTGGCTGGATTCTGTTGTTGGTACTTGCTTCTCTACTCTGTGCAGCCGTATCTGGAATGAAACATGGCTTTCAAGTTTCTTTTACCGGCCTTGCAACTATGAGCTCTTTGTAAAGCAGACACTTAACATGGAGATGGCCATTGCATTTTCACGGGTGAGTCAGAACGGTGAAGAGGTTTGGGCGCTCTTTGAACCATTGGTTTTCTAGTTCCTTCTGCCCCCGCCTTCCCCCTTTCCCCCTTCCCCACCAAATTGGTAGCTTTCGTTGGGCAAATGGGCCAGTTTGAGCCAGTTTGGGCGCATAGGGTGCGTTCTATTCGAATACAACTCGAGTTCTATTCGAATAGCCCCAAAATTTGAATACAATGCATATGCAATGATGCATTCTTTTGATTTTTTTTTTCAAATTGTGAAACTCGAATACCATGCATATGCGTTACGTTCGGGGGAAGAAGGTAGCACTGGAGTGCGGTGTATCTGACCGTGATCACCGCAAAAGGGATGTTTTTTTTTTTTTTTTTGCTTCTTTTGTTGTGGCTTGGACATATGCCCTCACCGACGGCACAATCATGCTGGCACTTCATAGAATGTATGTGACAGCTATCACGACAGTAGGGAAGCTTTTTTTCCCCCCCCTTCTCTTCTTTTTTCGTTCTTCTTTTTCCAGAAAAGAAAAATGAAATGTTGCCGCGCAAACGCCAGGCTCAGCAAAACTCGCAAAACTCGGTACACAATCGAAATCAGGGTCGGCAAAAACAGGCTTGGAGGTAGTGGTGGTTTAAGAGTCTGCTTTTGAAAGTCTTTCTGAGCCTGATAGTGGTATCAGCATGTGAATTTGACAAACTGTCATTTCGTGTGTGCATCCAGCTGGACTTGAATGTCTCTGGTGGATAGGCCATGGTCTATTACAGGGTCATATCTGCTGTGACTCTTAGCCTGTGGACGCTGTCTCTCCCATGCCCATGCCCAGTATACAATATATTTTAGCTGACTTGGTCGTCGTGCAAGTTCATGCTCTTAGTGCCGATGTTTTTGTCATATTTGTGACCGTTGGTTTTGATGTTATTCCCTGAACCTTTTATGTTATGTTGCTTGCCTAGGATGCTGCTGCTGCTCAGCTTTTCCCTTGAGCTTGTGTTTTTATTATTTTTAATTTATTATTATTGTTACTATTATTTTAAGATAAATAGGTCCATATGGTCCTGGCTCCGTATCCAGTCTGGGGAGCCTGAGTCGGGTTCATTTCTGGTGCATGGACGTTAAGCTCTTCTGCCAACAGGTTGAATGGACACCTTTTGCTATCAAGCTTGCAGTCCTTGCAGTTGCTGGGGCGCAGGTACACGAGGAAATGCCCGTCTTTCTCTATCCATGACATGTCAATGACGGCATGAGGCAGAGGATTATTTTTGGGAGCGAACACTCTTTTTTTGATGTGTTGGCTGCGGAAGTCGATGTTTTGAGCTCATGTTGAAAATGAGTTTCGACAGTGGATGTTCTGTTATCTCACTAGTAGTCTTTTGGATTTTGAGCTTTTGGAAGGGGGCATGATCTGACATATTTTCTTCTTCTCCTTTTGTTGTTGATATTTGTATTCTGTATGTGGTGTGGGTGTTGGCGTGAGGGGCTGTTTAGGAGGCAGGAATGGATTGGATTCTACATATAGACACAGATGAGCTGATGTGGCCTGCGGGTGTGGAGGACTTCTCGTTGAAAAAACTGTTTCATGATGTAGATCCCAAAGTGGACACGATTGTTTTCCCGAACTATGTGAGTTGACAAGTGAACTTTTTCCCATTTTGTGCTGGACGACTTTTCACACAGTTGCCTGCCTGTCTGTCCGTTCGTTTCGAAACTTTGCCATGAACTTTTGCATTGAAAGTCATGCATGAGTTTATGCTGAACAATCTGAGCTTGTTAAGGTCATGTCGAAGCCTGCCGAGCATGTGATATGAATAGAATGTACGCTCTACATGAATGAATAAAATGGACGAATGGGAGTCGGGCAGTGCTGAAAGGAACTGTCTTCTTAACCCCCCAAAAAGCGCATGTACGTCGTATATGAAGGGAAACGAGTGTACGGGGTATGTTTTTATTCAAATACAAGGCATGTGTTTTATGCAACAGATTTGGGGGGTACTCGTTTTTGGAAAAGGACCTGTATAGGTGCCGTGTTATTTGTTTCTTTGATGGCTGGAAGTTGTTCAAAGGTATGAAAAGCTGGAGGACTTCGTAGCATCCATTCAAGTGTAGTTGAATTCTGGCTCCCCCTGAAGCATCGTTGGTACCTGTCTCCAGTGAACCGGTTTTGAAGGCATTCCACCAGTTGAGCTGGCGACTTTCACCACTTCGCGCCTAATTCACCGCCTACGTGCCCTTTACGCCCTGTTTGTATGAAGGTTACACATTCCATGCCTTGTCTGCTTGAACGCTGCTAGGTGAGAAAGAAAAGAAAAGAAGTTTAAAACACACACACACACACACAAACATGTGCCTCTCAATTCGAGCCTTCCGCTATCTTTACCGAACGTGTCCTGCAAACCTTGTCCCTCCCTCAGCCAGGCCACATATGATGTGTGATGTGCAAGGGGACAGAAAAAAGTCAGAAACACCGACCTTCAAATCGGAGTCTCCCCTGACCCATCTAAACCACAAGGAGGTTGTTAAAAAGGAAAAAGAAATAAAAATGTCTCAGTGACCGTACACCCTGAATACTGCGTACGTATTTTGTATTCGATTGTACTTGTGGCCCAGCTTTGCGGTGTTGCACTGGGAGCGGTGCTCACTGTGCCGTACCTGCATTGGTGATATGGGCCACTGCACGCAAAACTTAAGGTGCAGTGTGCTGATCACACATAACAGCACTTTGTGCGCACACAGTTTCGTGTTTTTTTTTTTTTTTGTGTGTGTGAGAGAGAGAGAGAGAGAGAGAGAGAGAGAGAGAGAGAGAGAGAGAGAGAGAGCTGAGAAGTTGCTTGTATATACGTTCAAGGATGCAATGTGCCCTTATCCAAATCATGAACTTTGGTTGGGGGTCGTGTCCTCAAATCTATACAGGCTGCAGGTCTGATACTGTCGTAACGAAGGTACATACTCTCCGCGAAGTCCCTCACCACGGCTGTATTGGACCTGAAAGTTAGGTTGCAAGTATTGGAGGACGCGTCGATTAGGGGTTGCAAGTCCGACATGGTCATGGTGAGGGTGTGTGGTCTTCGGGAAGAACACTTTTCTATTTTTCATTTGCTCTTTCGATGAGGGGTGCTGTGTTATAGAATGTGCACAACCAACTAAGCGCACTGCATCCATCTCTTGAAACACTTCTCGAGAACACAGCACCCTCGTCATGACTGTATCAAAGCTTGATGACACAACGGCCAGTTTTGGCTAACAGAACGTACCCATCATGACTATGTCGGTTGTTTGTGGAAGATGACTTGTATACATTCGATGACACAATTGATGCTGTTCGAGAACACAGTGCATCCTCATCATGCCTGTATCAGACCTGAGACGTAACTTGTATACATTCCAGGCCACAATGAAAGTTCATGTCTACATTCGAGTGCGGCCCTACTTCTTTGTTTGCATGGGGCTGTACTTCTTTGTTTGTAGGGGCTGTTTACATTTTTCTTGGTGGAGGTGTGAGTGGTGGTACCACCCCGTGCCCCCTTTTTTCTAGGGTTGAGGAACCCCTATTATTGGCCCGGCGGTGCATTCTGTGTGTCCGCTGCATACGCTGTGCGCATGGCGCGCACAACATGCAACCAGCATTTCACGCTCATGGGTATTCCTTTCAGCTGCGTGTCAGAGTCAGATTGGCTTTCAACTAAGAGCTGGCTATTCCCAGTTATCCCCTTTCATTGCAAGCTCGAGTCTTCGTAGTGAGTTCAAGTATGATTCAAATGCAGTGTATGTATGCTCTAGCGCACAGTCTATTTGGAAAGTTAGACAGAGATTAATGAAGACCCCTTTTTCAGAGGTGAGTTGAAGTGAATATGCATGCATTTTTATTTATGGTGAAGAAGGTAATGGCAAACTGACAGTTATGGATAGGTGGTTCTGCCAGGACAAATAAATAGGTCGATGTGAGACATGAGACTTTTGGAACTGTCGACTGGGCGTTGAGGTATGAAGCAGAGAAAATGTAAATAGAGTTCAGCCGACTTCAGCAAGCTGAACTCATTTTGGAGGAAAAAGTTATTACTCTGGGGGCAAGACATTGAAGTCAGCCCAGCATATGTTCCTCTGTGGTCAAAACTGGTAATGAAGAGGCTGCAAGTTCGAGTCGCTTCGGAATCAGATGGGTGCAGAAGTGCAGGTGCACTGTTAGTCAGCATCACAGCCTCACTCAAGGTGATTGGGGAATGCTAAACAAAAAAAAAAAGAATACTGAGGGCGGGTTGCTAGCTTCATTTGGCTTTACTGTACGTTGGGGAGAATGAACAGAGGGAGTGGGGTTGGGGGTGGTGTGGCTATGGTGGTCAAACATGATGATGCAGCAAAGGGATGCATGAAGAGGTGAGGGATGATGTTTGCATGGTGGATGATGAGGACCATGACTGGGATCTATGATGATGAGCAAGCTTTTGTATCATCTGATGTAAGTGGTGCGCTTGTGCACAGTTGTGCTGCAACAGTGCGGTGTGGGTGGTGGGGTTCACATGTACATTCTCAACAGGTGCTGTGTGCCATGGGCATGGTCGACGATGGCAAATACCTTTTGAGGCATCAGTACATTTGGTGGATGAGATGATCGGAGGATGAAGAGCAAGAGTAGCAGGGGAAGCAGTGGGTGGAAGATGGAGCAATGTTGGGAAGGAGATGACAGACGATAACGGAGGGAGAAAATGAGAAAGAGGAATGAGCTGGCGATGTGCGCTATAAGAGGAGGTTCAAGTGGCGTTGCATGGTTGCTTGTGTGCAGTGCGATACGTCTTTCCCTGTTCTGTCATAATCTTTTTTTCTAGCGGGGGGGAGCTATGATGACCTAGAAAAGAGAAAGGAAGGAAAATGAACTGGTGATGTGAAGGAATACTCGTAATATAATCTCCCCTGTCCTGTCATTTCAAAAACCACCCTTACTGTTTTCGGGAAAGAAGTGACACTGACGTAGATTTGAGCGCTGACCTTCACAAGGATTCCTGTTGTGCCCACAATGCAGGAGTCGGCCATCGAAAGGGAGGACATCAAACATCCTTTTACTGAGGTGAGTTACGGCTGTTTCCCGTCGTGCTATTCCTATGTCCTAATCTCCCTTTTGGGGTAGGTCTATAATCAGTATGCTCCAGTGTGGAGGGTGATCAATAGAACTGACGGTAGTCAAACTCCTGAAAATGGTGTTATGAAAAGCAGTGCATGCGTATTGCATGTTGGCATATAGTGCTGCTGTGAGCTGGTTTGTTCAGAACTGATGCAGCATGTTCTTTTCGTCGAACTTCACAAATCATGGGTGTAACATGTAAGACAAGACAGTTGTGATCGTCAGGTGCTGCGCTTTTGTAAGTTTATGAATCACAGTTGGTGATCAATGATCATCATAGTGCTTTCTCACTGCTCAATTTTCTAACAGCTCTGGCTGCCACACTCTGCACTTTTATAAGGTCACCGGTGACAGTTGGTGATCGTTGTACTGCTTGCCGAATCATGATTTTTTTTAATGGGAAGTACAGTCTTCGCTACATAGGAACCAAGAGTTGGGCTGAGCTTGTAAATCCCAGTAAGGAAAAAGAAACCGAACAATGAAACGAGAAACTACTAAAGGACGAAGAAAGAACGACGAACCAGTATGCCTCCCTCTCCACTTTTTTGTCTGGCGCATTGATTTGGCTTTTGTTATGGCAAAATACGTTTGGCAAAAAACCAATGTGCATTGGTCTGGTTATTGCCCTTTGATTAGGCCTTGTGTTACCTGCACTCTTGTTGAAGCAAAATAAGTTTGAGACAGTGCAATGCATCCCAACTCAGAAGAAGTGGCCCTAGACTGACTAATGTAGAGGAATGAAGAATGGATGAAGAGGAAGAAGAACACACAAGATTGAATCATTGTGATCCAGCTCCTGTTGCCATCCTCTCGTATCCCTCACGTAAGTGTTGACGCCTCATGTTTGCCTTTGAACCCCCAGTACCTTGCCTTTGCTTTTTTTCACCTCGGGCGTGCTCGAAGGCAGCCCCACAAGGTCAGCACATCTTCAGGATGGACTCGATTTTGAAGCAGGAGAAGCACTTCAGCCACCGTGATTTCTGTTTTCTGTTTCTGGAAAATCACGAAGAAAAAGGAAAGAAGAATGCACCACTTAAAAAAAGATAACATGATTCCATGGGTACAAGAAAAAACGAAAAAGATGTTGCGATTCCTTGGGGAAATTCGGGCTCTTTTGTACGAGGCAAGATTCTGCAAAGTATATGGACTGCGTTTGTGAACTGTATACGTTCATACCGTTCCATCTTCAGATACGTAATTGCTGTTGTGCACATTAACCAGGGGCATATTGTAGACGAGCAGAATCACAGCTGACACGGCATTCCGTTGTCACTGACAGCCTGTCCTCACATCATGCTGTACGAACGAATAGGGCGTTGCTGCAGAAGAACAAGAACTCCTCACATTACAGACAACGTCTGGTTGTTGCAGATTACCCTTTTGTTCGCTCTCGTGTGGCCTCACACTATTTATCTGTAACTCATTGTTCCGTACCCAGAATGCACACATTTCTGACAATGTGTCTGGTTGTTGCAGGTTACCCTTTTCAAAAAGAATTATGACCATGTTCCCAGAGAAGTGTACTTTGGCCACTACAAGGAGGTGAGAATCCATCGGTTCATCAATGCATCCTGACAGTTTCCCTACGTTGATGAATGTGTGGTGAAATCTTCCGTGGGTGTAAATTGCACTGTGCCGCAAATGTCGCGGTGAGGATTTCACCTGTGTGACTGCACTTTGTTCGATGACCTTCTCCTGCTCTCGACTCCCTCCACCCTCCTGTGCTTCCCCTCCAACCCCCCCCCCCCCGTCTGATCACTGCCCAACAAAAAAAGAGGGCCAAGAAGAAGAACTCCACGCACAAACACTGCTCGTCTCCCTTGGACAGTTTCACCGTGCATTGTGGTCAGTTAAGTTCAATTGTGGTTAAAAAAGTTGAATCAGTCTGTCTGGAGCAGTTTACATGTTTTCTCTGACTTTTGTGAAAAGACTCTAGCATCATTGGTGTTGAAATTTGTTGGTAATCCAGCTTTCACCCCTTTCTCCTCGGCAGTGTGTGCTTTACTTCTCCTTTTTTTTTTTTTTTTTTTTTTTTTTTTGGATCCCGTTGTGTGGTCTTGGCTCATGCCACATGTTTTTCCCTCTTCAGGAGAATGTTCGTTGGTTAATGGAATGCATGGACATCCGTGTTCCCTCTGGTTCTGATGTTTTGCTGTTGGCTCTCCGTATTGAATGTATTTTACTGAGCAGGCTACTCGTGACAATCCTAACTATTTCTTAACGTACGGAAACGGGAAGTCAGCAGCTCGGATAATTGATGGCCTGAGGCCGAATGGTGCTCATCGGTTCCACAACTACATTAAGCCACCAAAGTAAGCCAGCTTTTGATCTTATGTCAGCCCAGTCTTGGAATATCTAAAGTTGCTGTGACCTAATGTTTGTTGTTCCATTTACCTCCCTCAGTTCGTTTGTCTTCTGTCCCTTACCACCCATTTTTTTGCTATCTTCCTTGTGGCCCACTGTTATCCCAAAGTTTGCCCTAGTGCATGCAAAGCCTGAACCTAATATGTGGATGTGAGAGCGGATTGGCTGTATGGATGCTTTGGAGGTTGTTGCAGCATATGATTATTGCCAATCTGCTGCAGATTAATGCATTGGTGGTTGTTTACCCCCTCTTGTCATTCGATTGCTTTCATATTGTTGTCTACTAGTGAGGCTGTGTGCTTTTTGGTTGTTTACGCCCTCTCGTACATTCGATTGCTTTCATATGGTTGCCTACTGTTGAGGCTGTGCGTTTTTTGCTCTTTTGCATCCTCTTTAGCAGCTTTGTTCGCATGGTATTGAAGATGCTGATTGAAGATACGGATTGAAGATACTGATTGAAGATGCTGATTGAAGATACTGATTGAAGATACTGATTGTCAAGGTTCTTTGTCTCTTAAACCGCTTTGAATAAATTTTTTAAATACCTGTTTCTGTAGGCGTTTCTTTATGCGTAACGCGTGAAATTGGTCTTTGGGGAACCTCTCTCGTTGATACGTAATGACACTGTTTTGTGTGAACCTTCTATTTGTGTTGTTCAGCCAGTTCATTTTGTTGCTCTTCTGGACGTAGTGTCTGTGGTATGGGAGTAGAGTGAAGTTGACTGAGTAATTGGACTTAGGCGTACGCAGACTTTGCCTTTTCATGAGTGTATGTGATGGTAATTATGGTTTAGATTTTGCCCTAGCCAGCATGTACTTAAAATTTTAAACCGCCAGTAGTTGTGCAGTCAGTTTCTCTGATGCGGCGGTGCACGCCCTGCAACATTCGAGGTTCCGCCCACTGGAGTTCTCTGATGCAGCCAGGAAATAGCTCGCGCTGGTTCATATTTCTTTTTCTTTTTTTTTTTGGCGGGGGGGGGGGGGGAGAGGAATCTGGTTTGGCAAAAGGAAGCCTCAAGTACTGAATTTCAATTGTAGTACTACCAAAACAGAAGGGTGACTCGATGAAGTGGGTGATGCCCTCTGGAAATGTTTGCATTGAAGTACGTTGTGGCTGTAGTCTCGGTCCTTGTGTGTGCAAGCCAGTTGGAAAAATGAAGTGTGTTTCATCCATTAAAAAAAAAATTGCCGTGCAGTTCGAACTCCAAAACGAAATTGTTTTGCGGTGGGAGAGAGCATTTGACAGGGTTACAAAGGAAAAGGGGCCTAGTTGGGTGATGCAAAGTCATGGCGCTGAAGAGTTTGCCTTTTGCATTGTTGTTGTCTCTGTGCTTTGGTGTCTTGTCTGAACATTGCGTACCCAAAGTGAGATCAAGCACGTGGAGGGGGCTGTTCTTCATTACACGTAAGCACGATCCACTGCCTCTTAATAAGGATTCTGTTCGGTAACCTGTCTTGTCTCTCATTTGAAGGGGCACACTCTCTGCCTAATCTTGGTTCGGACGTAGTTTGAACTTGATTCTCGATTGCTCAAAGAAAAGGGGTCGGTGTAAGATTCTAACTATTTTTCTCGTTCTTCAAAAAGCCCAAGGAAAAAGATAAAAAAAAAAAAAGGCTAAAGAAAAGGGGTCGGTGAAAGATTGCAGAGCACTCCGTAGTTTCCCCAACCAGAAATCAACGAAACCAAAGCACTGCAGTATTGTGAGTTGTAGAAGGCCTGCTAGCTGTTGAACAACAATTGATTTGGTGAGGGTCCGCGGGCAATGTAGAGAACTAACAGCGAAGAGGCGATGTTGATGAGGAATGAAAGCTTCTCAATAGTGAATGAAAGCCTCTTAATAGTGAGCAACACCAATCTCCATTTTCTTGCCTTCTTCTTCTGTATGATTTCCGAGTTATATTTGTTCAAGCTACATTTCTGCTCAGCGATTTTGCCTTGTTCTTCGACACACTTGTTCCACGCGTTTTCTCTTATGCGAATGCTCTCAACTTGTCTATCTGAACATAGAGCTCAGGTTCATGAGAACTGTTAGTTCCAGAATGAGGCATGCTTCTGAATGGGTGCTTGTACTGTGTAGTGGACGAATGCTTGCATGACTCAAGTATGTGGATGTGTAATGTACCCGATTGAACTACAATCCACAACGAATTCACACATTCCCATTCACGCATGCAATTGCCGAGTAGACTCGGAGGAGGCAAATCCACTCGAAACCGGAGAGAAGATATGCACAGTGGAAGCTCAAAATACACAGAGAATTGAAAAACGAATTTCAATTCTGCAATCCCTCGTCCTCCGCCAATTTATCCAGAGTACTTGTTCCAAGAATCACAGCCGTGTTTACAACAATCCCGAACAACCAAAAACAAGTGTTCGATGAAGTATATGCAGGCGTCTTCTTCGTCTTCCTCCTCGCCACCTCATAACCCTGGCTATGGCTGCCGTAGCAGCAGTAACCCCACAGCTGTCACAATGTGCCAATCGGAACCAGCAACCCCAATGATAGCAGCGCCAGCTCAGAGCCGGCACGGAAGTGCAGTGCTGGAAGTCCTGCTGAAGAAGGAGATAATCGATCCAGCACTTCTAAGAAGATGTTCCTCGTGAGGAGGAACAGCAGATATGGCTGCCAAGTGGAAAATGGCAGTGCCCAAACCCCGCAACACACTCCTGTGGAAGCTCTCATGCGGAGCAGCAAAATAGCAGCAGTGCGATCTTCAACTTCGTTTCCCAACCCCAGCTATGGCTGGGCTTCGATGAAGAAGATGACCTCGCCCAAAATAGAGCAGCAACACTCCAACAACGGACGGGCAGAGTTTCCCCTTCCCCAGCCAACGAAAACGTGAAAAAGACCTGAACCAAAATTTCTGCCCGCTACTTCTACCCTCTGCCTAGACCTACGACGGACTCCAAAAGTCAACAACCCAATACTAATCTGTAGCTAGATCGAAACAGGGTGAGAAGGGGACGCACACCTTTAACAAGGCAAAAGGAAAAGCTGAATGGCCTAAGACTACCAAACAGAGACTACTAACAGGAGGAAAAGGGGACACACACCTTTAACAAGGCAAAAGGAAAAGCTGAATGGCCTAAGACTACCAAACAGAGACTACTAGTGACAGATTCAGGGATCAAGTCCCATAGGGCGCAACACTCGTAAACAAAACACACAAGTCACAGGTCACGGGATCAAGTCCTACAAGGCCCAAAACAAGAAAATAAACTACAATGCCGAACACTTAGTGTACCCCCCACTGGGAAACTGGGATTTATTGCATATGAGTACTGTGATATCCGTGTCACTAAATGTGGAGCTTGCAGCATTGGGTCATGGTAGTGTATGGCAAGTAGGCCCAATACAAGAAAACAAACTACAAAGATGAACACTTAGTGTACCGCCCCACTGGGAAACTGGGATCTATTGCAGATGGGTACTGTGATGTGCGTGTCACTAAATGCGGAGCTTGCAGCATTGGGTCATCGTAGTGTATGGCAAGTTGTGTGGCCTGGACTGGTTGACTTTTATGTGTCACCTCACTTTTATGAGCATGTGGGCAACAGACACACATGGCTGAGTGGGTGTGTAGAGTGGGTTTTGTGGCTGTGAAAGATCGACTTCTTAGGCTGGCGGCCGTTCTTGTCAGGGGTTTTATTGAAAATCTGCTGGGATTGCTCGGTTGGTGTGAGCAAGGTGGACCACTTTTCTCAGGGGTGTTACTAACTCTGGGCAACGCGGTGAGTCCGTATCCATGTTGGAAAAAAAAAAATAGATAGTGCACTCCTCTCCTCTTGTGTCTCATTTCTCCCTGTGAATCTCAGTGTCTTCCGGACCTGTTTGTTGAGCTTCGCCTCCTGGTATCCAAGTGTGCATAGGAATATGATGCTTGGACAAGATGTAAAAGATTGTGTGACTAAGACAAAATGTAAATACTGTGTTTGCTTGTCTAACTCAGGTATTGCAAGTTCTCGGATGTGACCTCAAGGCGTGATCGCTGCGGCTGCAAGCCAACGAAGGAAGACACAAAGAGGTGCTTCATGCTCGAGTTTGACCGTGAAGTAAGTTTGTCAATTTCTCTCAAAAACCATCCCTCAGTTTCTCAGTTTCTAGCCTTCGTTGGAACTTGCCCCAGTTCCTTGCAATCAATTTGACCTTTGAAGCATCTCAGTTTGTTATCTCCTTGGATCTTGTCAGTTCTATTAATACCTGTGCGTGCGGTGCACGGTGCGCTGTGCGGTCATCAACGATGCGTGTGCACCACGTGCGTGTGTACGGTGTGCAGTGCGCTGCACACTTTTTTTGGTGAGCTCACTTTTTCCCTTTTTTCTGAAGGGGAGTGGAGTTCTGTGTGTGTGTGTGTACACAATCGGCAGGCACCTCATAATTTTGGTATCTGACAAGGATCGTCACTTGTATACATTCACAACAGAAACTCAACAGTGAGCCTTTGTAGAAGCTCACGAATCTGGGAAGGGGAGGCGTCTGATCTCTGTAGCAGCGCACACCTCATAATTTCTGTATCTGAGTAGGCCGGTCACTTGTATACATTCGAGTACAGATGGAGGCGTTGTAGAAGCTCACGAATCTCGGAAATGGCGGCGTCAGATGTCTGCACTACTATTTGGGATCAAGGAAATCGGAACATCAGATTTCCCCACAGATGTTTCTTCAGCCCTTGACGTGGTCACTGGTCTTGAAAAAAACATTGTGCAGCCTTTCAAACATTTTTGGCCGCGTGAGGTTCCCCCATTGTTGGCCGTATATTTCCAAGCTGTCAATTGTCTATGTTAGGCTGAATGCCAACCTTAAGACTTCTTTGACTTCTTTTGCCTCCCTTCCCTTCCCACTAGTACACGAGCGCATATGTACACAGAAACAGAAAATGGAGCAGCAGCCATCACCGCATCAGCTTCGCTCATCCTATGTTGTGTGTGCTTTCCTTGCATCCCCCCCTGTGAATGGCTTTTCTTTTTTTTTTTTAATTTCATGCTTTTCTTTGTATATGCTAGGAGGCAAATTTGGAAAGCTGATGAACAACGTTGGCACAGGAATCACATTTGTAATGCTAATTTGGAAATGAATCATTGTGTTGGATTGTGTTTCATGCAGGCATTCATCATAGCTAAAACGAGAACCATTCCAGAGATGTTCGAGTGGTATTTTACTGCGAACCTTGCCCCCCAGAGTGCTGCTTATTTCCACCCCAGATCCGCCTGTTCTTTCACAGAAGGCAAACAGAATCTCATAGAAAAGATTAGAATGGTCCATGAGCAAGGATGACACACATAAATCGAGAAATGGTCCAAATTGGCAAATTATAATATAAAAAAAAGGTGTCGCTCCGGTGGTCAGCTGAGTTTGTCCAGGTCCTACCCAACCCGAACATTATTGTGCCTATGTGCGCCACTGTCCGCTATTGCCTGTTCATGGCCACCTGTGAGAACTCTGCCACTGTCTGCTATTGCCTGATCATGGCCACCTGTGGGAAACGCCTGTATTTAAATGCCAATGCACCTCTGTAAAGTAGAAGAGGGGCGTGTGCATTGGAGTTGTGTACTGATCTAGTGTTGTTGCAACGGGTATCTGCACCGATCCCATGGTCTTGCATTGGATATCTGCATCTGAGCTCGTAAGTGATCTCCAACCATCTGTTTGGAATTGGCTGGCTTGAGTGCAGTTTGAGGAGTTACTGATTCACACTTATGATCGATGCAAGGGGCGCTCTCGGCTTCATCTTTGCTCGTGCCTGGAAAGCAGGAGCCTGGTAGTAATAGCCCCCAGGTTTGCACTTCTGTAGGATGGGAATAGCAGGAGCAGGGCCTGGCCCAGTGAAGACGTCTTGAAATGGTGTTTGTCATCGTGCTGGGGTCCTGGACGGTTTGGTGACTTCCGCTGTGGCGATGGTTGTCATGACCTGACTGGTTGCTTTGTGGAGTGTTGCCTATGTTGTCCGTCTTTGTGCTCGGGGCCTGGATGATTTGGTGACTTTCTGGCATAGTGATGGTTTTCATGACCGCACAGGTTGCGTTTTGGACTGTTGTCTATGTTGTCGGTCTTCGTGCTCGAGTCCGCTGTGGCGATGGTTGTCATGACCTGACTGGTTGCTTTGTGGAGTGTTGCCTATGTTGTCCGTCTTTGTGCTCGGGGCCTGGATGATTTGGTGACTTTCTGGCACAGTGATGGTTTTCATGACCGCACAGGTTGCGTTTTGGACTGTTGTCTATGTTGTCGGTCTTCGTGCTCGAGGCGTGAATGGTTCGGCGACTTTCAGGCACAGTGATGGTTTTCATGACCGGACAGGTTGCACTGTGGACTGTTGTGAATGCTGTCTGTCTTTCTGCTCGAGGCCTGGACGGTTTGGCGTCTTTCTGGCACTTTTCATGACCTGACAGGTTGCATTGTGGAATGTTGTCTCCTCCAGGTACAAAAAGAGAGTTGTTTGGTATGACGCGGAGGCAAAAGACAAGCTTATCCGAAGGGGTCTTTTCATGCGTATATTTGCACCACAGGTACGGGTGTGAACACTGAGCAGCAGCCAACCCAGAAAGCAGTAGGGAATAGTGCTGTGTACCTGATTGAAACGAATCCAGCATGCCATCGGCACGTACCAATTCACATGCGCAATGACAAGAAGACCATGAGACAACAATCCACACGTTCCAATACACATCCGTAATGCCAAGTAGTCTTGGAGAGAGCAATCCACACCAAACCAAATGACGAGAATGTACAGTGCAAGCTCACAAAAAAAACATAAATAGAATTGAAATCAAATTGATTATAGTTGATACTCTCTCCCCAGTTTGATCAGTGGCGCAAATTTCCCAGGATCCCAGCCATGTTATCAACACCCACGGACCAATTAGTTACAAAGTTTCATCGAAGTATCCGGGAGTCTTCTTCTTCCTCACTCTTCCTCAAGCTCCAGCTATGGTGCTTGCAAGCACTCAACCTATCAAGCCTGCCAATTGCCACACACCCTCCTAAATCCAACACCCCTCACTGCGCCACTCACGAAGCCCACTGCAGATGAAGTGCCCAGTTAGTAGCGGAGCGCAGCTCCCAAGAATGACGAAGAAGGCCAACTGTATGAAAGTGAAGGCCTGCCACATGGAAGAAGACCACGGGAAGTGGCTGCGTCGTGGCAGCTTCCATAAGGCCCGGTGCCGTGCTCTTCAGCGAAGCTGGGAGGGCCCCAGCTATGGCTGCCAGTGACATCGTGAAGCTCTGCACTGATGGAAATAGCACAGTAGCTGAAAATGTGACCTCCCGCCACAACGTGAAAATAGAAATTGGAAAGGAACCTGAATCCAATTCACCTCAGCCTATTTCTACTAAGAACCTAGACCTAACGGACCCTCTACCTACGAACAGGCACTTCGGCTTACAGCCTATGGTATGGTATGGTATCTGCATGTACACAGAATTCAGGCCCGAAGGGGACCCTAAGTGAAGACGAAACAAAAGAGAGGCATAAGGGCCGACTGGACTGAAAACAGCAGAAATGACAAAAGGGTCCTAAAGCTACCAGGACAAGAATGAGTCACAGAAGGGACAGGTAAAGGGATCAAGCCTGGTAGAGCTCAAAATATTACAAGGCTATTTTATCAGGGAATCCACCTGATATTCCGAGTCTAGCTTTCAAATAAATACATAAATAATTAAAATAAAGAAGTGTATGATTGGGAACTGTTGTGTCCGGGATTTTAAAGTTCCCATCGATTGGAAATTTTGGAATGCGATTTCAAAGCTGCCTCGGTTAGAATGTACCTTATTCATTTTGCTTATTGTGCAGGCAATTAGGTGCCTGACCTGTGCTGCGATATATGGATGTTGAGGTAGATTATCACGATGTGCAGATTTGATCGAATGGAGGTTTGGAATTCGATAGGCAGCAAGAGGTGATCACACGGTTCTCTCCTTGAGAACACAGATAATGGAACAAGCTCCTCTTAAACTCTGGAAGTTTTAGTTTAGCGAAACAAAAATGTTGGCATAGAAGATGAGAACTCGATATTGTCCCCGACTCTTAGAAACAGTGGCTGAAGGGTGAAAGTATTTCTGAAGGGTGAAAGGATTTGCTGGCTCGTACATTTGCTGGCTCGTTCATCAATGTTCTGAATCGCATGGTTAAAATATGGAAAGTGCAAGTAAGGCATGTCACTCTTTGCCTGTTCATCTACATCTAGCATTTGAAGATCAGACGCATTCGCCTCTTTGTTTGCTTCTGCACCGGTTCTTGAAAGTGTTTTGCCCTCTCCCTTGCCCAATTAACGGAGCACCAGTTGGAACATCCCTGAGGATCGTGAATAGCACCATTTAAGAAGGATGGAGGATGACATCTGGAATGACCAGCAATCAATTGAAAGTGGACAAAAAACACTTGTCCCTTCTACGGCTGTGAGCCCCCGAATCTCTCTGATTCGGTGGCACACGGACGCAAATAAGAGATGCTGGTTTCGCAGTGATGTGCCTTCGCTGCCATGAGCGTGCAAGCTTTGAAAAGTGTTATATGCAGCCATCAGCACAAAGGTGTTCTTGGCAGTGGCCAATGTGGAGCGTGGCGAGTATAGAATCATGGTGGCTGACTACTACTGCACACAGAACAGGATGCATGCAGTTCTGAAGAGCATCTGCTCCAGAGCCAGCCATTCCAAGCCATGCACATGCTCTCTATTCGGGAAAGAAGGTAGAATTCACTAATGCCACAAGGCGAAAACGTTAGCAGAGATATCTGCAACCATATTCTTCTGAACGTAAAGGCTGAACGCTCTATCCCCCGTTAGGGCCGTTACGTTATTTTGTTTAGAATTCCTCGGGAGTGTTGTATTAGGATTTCTGATCGTGGAGGCACACCGTTTCCCAAAAAGAATCCATGAGTTCTGTCGCACTGCGATGCAAACAAGTTTGTCCGGAGCGCCATTGAGAAAAAAGAAGACAAAAAACCGCCAGGAGAGCTATTCTTGTGTTTTTGAAGCTCAAGGCTCCAGGAACCCTTAGCAGCCAGATTCAAGTACAACTCCCTGGGGTTAGAATATGGAAGAACAAGGTAGAGTTCTTTGGTATGCAACTGGTTTTGACTGTCATTATGGAGAGGGGAACGATGATTCACGTTTATGCATGGAGAATTGGAAAGGGTTCTGCAAGTGAGTCATGGATAACGAGGAATGGTGGTTACATCACCCATCCTCCCAACTGTCCCCAGCGACGATGTAGACCTTGCCCATCTTGTTGATGATGATTGTATTGCATTTTTGCTCATCTGGATGTGGATGTTTTGGATCTGTCATGCATGCGTGGGCTGACGCAAAATCTTTTTCTGTCTGTCTGTCTCTCTCTCTCTCTCTCTCTCTCTCTCTCTCTCTCTCTGTGCATCTTTCATTCGCTATTCCCTCTTCCCTGGCTCCCTTTTTGGCTATGATGCATTCTTTGGTGGTTGTGGTAATGTTATCCAAAGTAGCTCTATGTGAAAGGCTTCCTCGAGAGAGGACTGGTTGAGAAAATTATCCAGATGGGAAAGCGAGGAAAGGATATTGTTTTGGAACAGTTGGATACATATTATTATGATGATGACGATGATGATGGTGATGAGGATTCTGAGAATGGTTCGGATAAGATGCGGAATGGGATTTCCGTGAAAGGAGGATCTCGGTTTGGTGGACTATTTGATCTCGTGGACCAGTTTAGCCATGGTGAGGAATTTTCTAATGGCGTTGTCATTCAGAGTAATAATTTGCATGTTCCCTTTTTTTTTCAAGTTAGCTGTCATTTGCTTGCGTGTTCCAAATTTTCCTATTGCTCGCAATTTCTCACCTTTTATACAAGGCAAGAATTTGGGGTGGAGCATGCATTTGAAAGACAAAAATTCAGGGGCGCAGCATGCATTTGGTACAACCATGAATTGTTGAAATACAGGCCTCAGTTGGAATCCAGATGGGACTCAGTCACTCAGGTGAGTAAAATAAGTTTAAATAACTCTGCATTTACTTTGGGAGGTCAGTTTAAAGATTATATTTCAAGGCTCGGTCCTCATGCTACCGGTTGACGCTTGCAGGTCGGGTGCAGCCCCCTCATGTTCGCTCGTTGTAGGCTTGAGCTCGGGCTGGCTGCTAAAGTGATAAAATGAATAAAAGGCCTCAAAGGGAGTTCTGTCCAGATTTGACAGGTACTTCAATTGGTTGGTCGGGCAGCAAAGAATTAGTCGAAAAAAAGCTGATATTTCAAGGCCGCCTCCCTTTTTTTTTTTCCCAAAAAGAAAAAAGCAGTGTGTATTGCTAAATGAAGAGCTATGATATCATTCTGCAGTGTAATAGGCGAACAGTCAGTACACGTAATTACTAATTATAGATATCCAATATATGATAATTATCATCATAATAATAATTAACATATTGTATATCTTTCGTGTAGATCGAATGGCAGCATCATGGACACAAGCGTGTGGTGAAGAATGTGCACAAAGCAATGGAGCGCTGTCTACTCTCAGGCTTCGTTCGGTTAAGATGGGCAAAGCTTAAAGCAGAACAAGACGAAAAGTATTTGATTCCACTGAATATTTACTGGAGTGGCGATTGAGATTGAAGAGCATCATGGGCCCCCGGTATGGTTGAAAATGCACGAAGCGATAGTAGACCATTTCCTACTCGCAGGGTGTGATTATTAGCACACTTGAAGAGTAAAGAAGAACCCCAAGGCCAAGAGTATTGACATAGAAGTGTAGTAATGTGACCCAATTAGGGCATATTCACTGTAGGACTTTTTTACTCGTTCCTGGATGTAATTGTGGTCATATACATTCAGGGTCAGTGGTAAATGGAGTAAGATACACTCGAAGATAGTGTTTGTGTGAGTAGGCCCTTACTCTCACTCAGATGCTTGGCAATCAATCAAAAAGAGTCCCAATCTGAAAATCATTTGAAGATATGTTGTGAGAGGCTGTTCTGCCAAGATGTCTGGCTGGGTTGTTCAGACCAGACAGGTCAAGGTTCAGCTGCCTGGCTAATCTAGCGAAGCTAGCGCCTATGTGTCTGATTTTCGATTCAACGCGGGTTTCACGTAGAATTATTCAACGCGCGTTGAATTCGCGTCGAATCCTAAACGGGGTCTGCAATGATTTTTTTTTTCTGGGCTAGACATAATCCAAAAAGAAAAAGGGAGGGGGTTGTAGGTCTTTTCGAGGACTACAACCCTATATTTTATTATTTTTATTTTTATTTTTTGATGTTTGAGTATATTTAAAAAAAATAAAAAACATAAACACAATGAAGAAGAACAAAAACAAAAAATGAGAGACTTCTTAACGGCTAAAACAAAAAAAGAAAAACAAATAAAAAATATAGGGTTGTAGATCTTTCAAAGATCTTCAACAACATTTTTTTTTTCTTTTTTTTTAGCTTCGTGTATTTTTTTGAAAATTCAAAACCATAAAAAGCAAATAAGAAAGAAAAAAAGACACGCACACACACACACACAGAGTCAGACAGACACGCAACACACACAAACACATTTTCACACACACACAGACTCTCCGGCTAGTCTGAGTTCCACCTATCCTTGGGTAAGCTAGGGGAAGGATGGTAGGATGTATCCGCGGGCGCTGGCCTGCCTTTCTTAGGTAATCCTGCTGGGTAGACTCTCTGAATTGGGCCTGTATAAGATTGCATGAGCCTGGCGTCTGCAGTTCCCGTACGGCAAGGTTCGTCCGCTTCCACTTCCGCTTCCATCAGGGCTGGGAGTTTGGCCCAGCCTTGGTGCTTGTCACTGGTGTCTGGTCCAAGTTGCCCTCGATACTGGTAGGGTGATGGTCCCGAGTGCTGGTCACACTGAGAGGTAGGAGAGTAGGGACAGGGGGTGGGCTGGGAGTATTAACGTGGGGATGGGTGGGGTAGGTGGTCTGTCCTGTCAGGACAACCATTGGCTGCTGCTACCAGCAATCACCGCGGGTCTGGTCCTTGGCCTCCACAACCGCCTGGGCTTTCAAAAAAGAAAAAAAAAAAGAAAAAAAAAAAAGAAAAAGAAAGAGGATCTTCCTCTAGAACGTGGAATAATACGTCGCCATATGTGTTGTCTTTTGTGCATATGGTGAGTAGAGGCCCTCAAGGCCACTGCAAATTTGCAGAATTGGAATGAATCTTCTGCTAGAACGTGGAGTAATACGCCGCCATATGTTTTTATTTTTGTGCATGTGGTGAGTAGAGGCCCTTAGGCCCACTGCACGTATTCCTAAGAAAAGAAAAACGAGAAAAAAACAAAAGAAAAATCAGAAAACAACTAGGCTGGGCCGCCGCCCGGCCGGGCGGGCCCCGGCCAGTTGGGCCCAGGGGGGTCCGCCCGGCGAAACCGGGCGATGCAAAAACACAGCAAGGAATTTTTTTTGTCTTTTTTGAAGGCGGGGTTGTGCTGCGCTACCCTAGAGGACCACGAATCTGCAATAAAAAAGTTAATTTGAGGGGTGGGTGGGTGGGGGGGGGGGGGGGTTGGGAGGGGGTTGATGGGGGAGGGATGTCAGCGGGGGGTCTGGGGGATGTCAATGCTGGTATGTCACAGACCTTGCAGGTGTGTATGTGGAAGAAGAAGAAGAAGAGGAGGACGAGGAGGAGGAGGAGGAAGAAGAAGAAGAAGGGCGGAGTATGTGGGAAGAAAGATTGGGCGAGACAAAGTTAGGGGATATGGCCGTCGCGGGAGAAGGTCCAAAACGCGGCCCCACGTCGCACAAGACAGAAAAAAAAAAAAAAGGAAATGGTGTGAGGGATGGCGGGGGGGGGGGGGGGGGGGGGGGGGGGGGGGGGGGGGCGAGAAGACGGGAAGAAGAAGGGAAGGAGGGGAAGAAGAAGGAGGGAAGGAGGGGAAGAAGGAGGAGGGAAGGAGGGGAAGAAGAAGAAGAAGAAGAAGGGGCGAGAAGAAGAAGAAGAAGGGAAGAAGAAGAAGGGAAGAAGAAGAAGGGAAGAAGAAGAAGGGAAGGAGAGGGAGAAAAAGTGAAGAAGAAGAACGGAAGAAGAAGAAGCTAAGGAGGGGGAGAAGAAGAAGCGGAGGAGGAGGAGGAGGAGGAGGAGGAGGAGGAGGGGAACAAGAAGAAGAAGGAGCTGAAGAAGAAGTTGAAGCAGCGAAGGGGGAGAAGAAGAAGACGGCTGGTGAAGGAGAGGGAGAAGAAGTGAAGAAGAAGAACGGAAGAAGAAGAAGCTAAGGAGGGGGAGAAGAAGAAGCGGAGGAGGAGGAGGAGGAGGAGGAGGAGGAGGAGGAGGAGGAGGGGAACAAGAAGAAGAAGGAGCCGAAGAAGAAGTTGAAGCAGCGAAGGGGGAGAAGAAGAAGACGGCTGGTGAAGGAGAGGGAGAAGAAGTGAAGAAGAAGAACGGAAGAAGAAGAAGCTAAGGAGGGGGAGAAGAAGAAGCGGAGGAGGAGGAGGAGGAGGAGGAGGAGGAGGAGGAGGAGGAGGGGAACAAGAAGAAGAAGGAGCCGAAGAAGAAGTTGAAGCAGCGAAGGGGGAGAAGAAGAAGACGGCTGGTGAAGGACGACGGGAAGGGGGGCTCGAAACGGGGGCAAAGAAGAAGAAGAAGAAGCGAAGTAGAAGAAGAAGAAGAAGAAGAAGAAGAAGAAGATCTCTCTCTCTCTCTCCCCCCCAAACTAAGTCCTTCAGCTTGTTGAGGCGGCCGTTGGGGGGCGACGGCGGGGTCGCAGTGCGAGTATCGGCTAAGCCATGCCAACGTACTTGTTGAGGTGGCCGTTGGGGGGCGACGGCGGGGTCGCAGTGCGAGTATCGGCTAAGCCATGCCAACGTACTGGCAGTGACTGTCAGATTTTGATTGTTTGTTGGCTGGGTGAATTAGGATTCTTTTATGTGTCATCGACATCTTTGGTTGTTTGTTGGCTGGGTGAATTAGGATTCTGTTATGTGTCATCGACATCTTTGAATGGCTGTACGAAGTGCCTTTTCTCCGATTAGCTCCGAGAAGGTCCGCAGTGAATTGATGATCTTGAGTTGCATGTGTATTCTTCAACCTGACAGTAATGTGGAGGTCAAACGTACTTGATGTTCACGCTGCACGCTTTATATTAGTTGGCGATCATATTTCACATCTACAGTTGCGTTGAAGCATGTGGGAGGTAGTATCCATCCCCAACGCTTGGAAAAATCCCTAAGCATAATTTTATGTGCTATGGGATGAAGACTTGCAGAAAACCAAGATCTGTGGCTGGTCACGAAATTTGGTACCAGCTGCACATCTGAGCTGTCAGTTGGTGTGGGTCGCCCAGATTTGCAGCGTGCGTGAAAGGCTCGCCGATTGATTGTGGTCTTGTTCGTCTGGCAATGCATGTCAAGATCACTGGCCAAATGCCAGAAAGTGGCCTTCCCAACAATTTGCGCCAGACATTTTGCAAAAAGTCGAAACCGCTACAATATACCATTTGTCTGTGTGTGTGTGTGTGTGTGTGTGTGTGTGTGTGTGTGTGTGTGTGTGTGTGTGTGTTGCACAAAGTTAAAAACACTACATTATACCATGTGGCGCATGTGTCCATGTGTGTGTGTGTGTGTGTGTGTGTGTGTGTGTGTGTGTGCGTGAGATAGATAGATAGATAGATAGATAGATAGATAGATAGAGAGGTACTTATCAAGGAACAAAAGTCCTATCGGTCTCCTTTTTCTCTTTCCGTAAGTGGAGTTTGTGTGTGTGACGTTTGCACAGGTCAAGTTGGTTAAAAAAAAAAAAAAAAGGGGCTCTGCGGCCTCTGCCCATTGTACTGGATTCATTTTTTTCGTATCGAGGACTAAGCCTTGATGTACATTGTGGTTGTGGTTTCGTTCGTTTTGTGTCTTCTTGTTTTAATGTTTTCATTTATCTGTAGTTGATCTTGCGAGGTTACGAGGAGACGGGAATGATCACAAAAGTGATGACGGTAGGAGATATGGAAGACGAGGTCGACATTCCAGGTAATAACAGAAGTGATGGTGCGACTGATCGTGAAGAACTCGGGACCCCTACCGTGGAGGGTGGATTGCGACCTCATGCGGGCTTCAGAAAAGCTGATCACATCTTCTTAACAGATGGCCATGCTGCGAAACAGTAATTGCTGATCTGTCTGCGGATGGTGGTATTGTATTTTGCTGGGTGCAGCAATGTGCTCCCCCCCTTCCCCCCCACCCTCCTCCCTTCGGTCTCACTGGTTGATCATCAACAAGAGACGAGTTGCGTTGTCTTATTTTAGCTTGGTTGTGTTCTAAGCAAGCCTGCGTTCGTTAATAGTCCAATACCTTTCCCGGCTTTGTGTGATCTTTCTCTTCTACCCTTTGGTTGCACTGGATGGTGTATGGTGGGAATGATTGCGTATTCTTTTGCCCGAGTCTTTGGGAGTAAATGCAATGAATTGCCGCGCAGGTTTCTGCTGCCGTTTCCTTCCTTCTGCGGAATGTGGTGCTCGGGTTTCATTCAGGTACGCTTTGAGTTTTGTGAGCTTCCTATGGATCTAGAGTATCTCAAGTTGCTCAAGAGCTTGTTCTTGAGGCTTTGATATAGAGTCTCTTCTCATGTCGAGCTGCTTTCGTTCCTCTCAAGTTTCTCCTCGAGAGCATTATCTTGAGGTCCTCATGGGAGGGTCCCGTCCATCTCGAGCTCCTTGCTTCCCTCGTCCCAGTTCTTTGTGGTTTTCATATTTCGCGTTCTGTTTTTCTCTCGTGCTGAGGGCTTTGTGAGTTTATTACATCTTCATTTTCTGGTCGGGACTTTGTTCTCATCTTCAGCTCCTCTTCTTGAGTTTGTCGAGTTTCTCTTCTTCGAGTTCGCTATCTTCAGCTTCTCTTCTTCGAGTTCGCTATCTTCAGCTTCTCTTCTTCGAGTTCGCTAGCTTCATCTTCTTTTCTTGATACTTTGAGGATCTCCTCGTCTTGAGGTCATCAAGTATGTTGAGTTCCTCGTGTTGAGTTCGTTGAGTTTGTCTTCTTGAGTTCGCCAGGTTTCTGAGCTTGAGCTTCTCGTCAGAAGTTCGTTGTCACCTGCAGTTCATCGATCTCGACTTTCTTCTTGATCACTACCCTGAGTCGCTCCTCTTGAGTCTCTGGTTCTTCTTGATCTCGATTTCTTCACGGTCTCCGAAATCCTATTTTTTTGCAGGGCGGCTTCCGGTCGTCCTCTGCACCGTAGAGGCAGTTAAAAATGCGTCGCGAGTTTCTTGAGTTTGCGTACCGTCTCAGGAATCCTGTGTTGTCGGTGCGCTCGGAGAAGGATGTGCTCTGCTCGTCAGTGCTGTGAGTGGATGCGTATTCTACTATGCGTAGAAATTTGAGTTTCTTAGTCCGACTCAGTACTGATCCTGCTGGTATTTCCTGTGTGTGGAATCGCCAAGTTAGGATTGTAATTTAACTGAAGATGTCTGTCGCCGTGCGTTGGGAAGTTACGGTTCATCCGTAAGGTGAGTTTTTCCTTCTTCATGATGCACGTACTAATGAGGTCGTGCATTGAAGTTCTCGAGGCACAAATGGGTTTTATCATTTGTGAAGCTTTATATCAATGGAATGGAATGGTGATGAGCAAGGGCGCTGTTCAGTCTTGGCCGGGAATACTGCATTCAGTTCCTGAATTGGCATTCACATAATCCGTGGTGTTGAATGAGCCGTAAACTGGATTCAGTACTTGGAGTGGCTTTCATGTGTTTTGCATAATGTGCTGAATGATTTGTCGGTCGTGGAGTACACTCAATGTGGCCGGCGGACACAACAGCCGGTACTCGGCTTGGCATTCGTCGTCCCTGGCGTTGTCTGTTCGGTCATGATGACAGTGCACGTGGTTCTTTAGAATGCTGGAGCATGATCGTAATGCGAGATGTTCAGAATATGAATGAAGGTCAGCACGCTTTTTTCTTTTTTTTTTCCGTAGTGTACATTTATCGTGGGAAAACGTACGTCCGTAAATACAGGCACTTTGCACTGATAATGATACTTTACTGTGGTCTGGCTTTCTATGTTGGCGCCGCCTCCTTTCTTGCAAACTGCTGTTCACCTTCCACATGGCATGGGCGTGCTGCTCCATAGCGGTCAACACACATGATGTTTGGTGCAATACCTGTCCGTCTAATCCCTTCTTGATTCTATGCTCACCTTCGTAGTCTTGGTTCTTTTTTTCTTTTTACTTTTGAGGTGTCTCTTACTGGGTGGTGGATATGCGCACTTTTTTTTTTTTTTTCTGCATCTAGTCTTGGTTCCGAGCAAGACGTGTGGAAGTTCAGTTCGCAACTTGAGCTGCTGCATATGGTAGCGTGCACTCGTCTCTTTGGATTGCTCTTTGGGACAAAAAACGGGAGCATTTGTCTCTCTCGAGGTGGACGGATGGAGACTCTGTCTGGTCGGATGAGCTGTTAGGTGTGGTAGGGTCGTTGTGGAACGGTCTTCAATTGGTGTTCCTTTATGTCTTGACCTTGCCGGGTTTGGCTTGCTGTGGGTGAACACTGTGGGACAAATGCGTTTTATATGTAAGTGTGACCCAACCCAGTCTCATCTTCTGTTGCATCTGCAGTCCATGCGGTTGTTCGTAGCATCTGATCTCTGTTTGTAGAATTTAGAATTTTCACAGTCTAACTTCAAAGCACTTGCAGGTGCAATTAAGCAAGGTTGTATGACCATGTTCATAAGGCAAAGCTCTCTCTTTCTCTCTCTCTCTCTCTCTCTCTCTCTCTCTCTCTCTCTCTCTCTCTCTCTCTCTCTCTCTCTCTCTCTCTCTCTCTCTCTCTCTCTCACACACACACACACACACACACTTGTTTTTGTGGACCTCTTTTATTGATTTTGGTACCTTCATTTTCTGGACTACTGGTACTTCATTTTGTGGACCCGCGCCGCACCCCTAGTAGTACGATCCTACCTGAGTGTATTCGACTCAGGACTATCACCCGGTCGGGGGCGACCTTCAGTTTTCCTTCAAGTGGCACTCTCATGCTCGGGCTTTTTCAACGGAGGTATGCCCGCCTCGCAGTGAGGTACATGCCGGGATTATGCCGTTGTTTTGTGGAGCGCATGTCTGCGATGCAAGAGTTGGGTTTTACACCTGCAAACCTGTGTGCGAGTGCGTTGGATGCAGCAATTGTGTTTTGCACCTGAAAACCTGTGCTGCCCAAGCCACGATTGTGTTCGATATGGTTTGTGTATGAAACATGCCAATTCTGTCTGCACTCTTTCTCTCCTGCCTTGTCGTTTCAGAAGGGTGCACATGTGGCCACACTCTTTTCCTGGTTCACTCTGACGTCACTGATTGGGGCTCCCGACTCCGATGGGATGACCAATGTACCATGAAGAACTCTTTATCCTGTGGGATGGGGGACAAGGCGTGGGATCACTATGAGCGAAAGGAATATGAAAATGTCCCTGTTCTTGATGTGTAAGCAATCGACGGGTCCGCTGTGATTCTGCTAAGCAAATGATATTTGTTGACAGCGGCAGGTATCCAGCATAGCTTAATATCCGATCCATTTTGCTTCTCCCGGATTCATGCGGCCCATTAGAATTTTCCGGAGGAGTTTGCGAAAAGATTTCTCTGCAGAGTAACTTTTCCGGATAGGGGTCAAAACTTGAATCTGATTTGCACAGACTTACTGAAGTGCCCTCCGAACCTATGTGCGAAATAGTTGGCGGGGTTTCACTGGATCAAGTGACCAGTTTCCCCCATGGACTTCCAGGCAACCTCAGGACACAGTTTGAAGTTTTGAGCTTTTTTTTTTTTTGGCTTTGAGTCCGTTGACCTTTGTTCTTAAATAGGAAAAACAAAAAGTCCAGGCGATCCGGAAACGAACACTTTCATTTTTTCTTTTCTAATGATAATGCAAAGTTTTGGCTGACATCGCAATTCGGAACAAATCAATCAGAAAAGCAGAAAGTAATAATTAATTGACGTAACCCCCCTATAACCTTGTGTATGGTTCCCGAGCCAGGACCTGTTGAAGCCCAGGGGTGAAGTCCCACCGCCCAAGTTAAGTTTTGAAAACGCAACGGTGTGACACCATGTCGACATTCGAAACAAGAAATTAAAAAAACTGACAAAAAAAAAGGCTAGAGAGAAACAGCTTTTCTCCTTATTTTTTTTTACGTAACTCGGAGAAATGAAGCACGTCTGGAACGGTTGGAGTGAATGCCTCCGTGGAAAAGGGATACTCCCCGTGGTGAGCGGACAGGAGGTCACCATTCGCAAAATGGACAGGGAAAACATGGATGCCCAAATGCGTTCATTGCCCAAAGAAGGAAGAGAGTTTGATGCGAGAGAGCCAAACACAGCTGTCAGAGTTCCTCTGTTTCAGGATGTAATGATGTCTAAAAGAACAAAAAAAGAAAAGAAAGGCACATAAGTTGAGAAATCTACCCCGGTGGGGGGGGGTGTAGGGGGCCAGGGTAGTTTTTCGAACTTGAAATGGTTTCCTGCCTAAACCGAAAGGGCTTTCACGTCAAAGAAAAAATCTAGAAAACGACCAAATCTAATATTAGGTTATTTTCCTGTATTTCGGTACCATTAGATTTGCAATACATCAGCATCGAAGGCAGAGCTCCGTCCCAGCATGATACACATGATAGAAAGCCCAGCGTTGAGAAAGGGCGGAGGGACTTCAACCCAGGTTGGACTTGCATGCCGTTGTTCTTTATAGCTTTTTCCAGGGGGGTTTCAATCTCGTTGCCAATTGTTTGGAATTCCAAGTGATCAGAGATGATCCAGCTTTTCTGATTACCCAAAATACGTCAATAATGATCCGGGGGGGTGTCAAGCTCCTCTCCAAAAGTTGTTCAAAAATACATCAATAATGACCGTACGATGGATTCAGGCAAAGACGGTAGTGGGCTGCAGTCTTTTTGAATAACTAACCAGTTCCCCTCTCAGCCTCTACTACCAAGTACATCCTTAACGATCTCGATCACTTCATGATCGTGATCCGGAGTCCGAAGACAGAACTTGTGAACGAAGGGGAGGCAACGAAGGGGAGACTGCTTGTACTCCGGCCCGTTGTCCACCGAGGGAACGCCGTGTCTGTAGCGGGCTATCCCCCTCAGGGTCAGTGCACCAGAGTGCCATGTTTTTTTGTTTTAGTGGGGCGGATGTGTGCAGCGTGTGGCAGAGATGAGCAATGGGTAGCCACACCGACATCGAGGTGCACCCACCGACCTAAAAGTCACTGGGGAAGGTGCGGTGGTCGTTATTAGTGGTGGTCCACATTAGCTGGCTGGGTTAACCCAGCCGATTGAGCTCTGCACTGATCTCAAGAAACAGCTGTGACTGGGCTCAACGCCATGAGGCCCAACGACCCACAGAAACAATCTGAAAACTTCACGGGAAGCCAGCCTGGGTGGATGACAAGCATGTCAATGTTTCTTGGGTAACCCGAGTAGTTTTAACACACACCCCCCCGCCCCCCCTCTTCCTCAGGCCCCCCGTTTCCCCTTTCCTCTGAGGCACTGAAAGTGAGCCTTAGTTCTAATCTCACCTCACCGGACAGCCCGGTCCGTCCCCTATATCGAAACGCCTTTGATTTTGTGCCCACAGTGGACTCGTTTGACAGGCATCGCAAGATGGTGCAGCGAGGAAGAGACGGCACAACGACTCCCAAGAGCTGCAGGGCGTCAAGTACTGGCTGCCTTGCGGGGACCAGGGCCTGGGCACGCGCAGGCGGTATAGAGTTAGGTCTGGGGCCAGCTTGACGCAAAATTTTCTCTTTCGGGCGAGGGCAGGTTGGAATACAAAGACGAAATTGCGTGTCGGGCAGAGGTGATAACTCAGAAAAAATGCTCTTTGCTGTGTGGGTGTGCTTCTGTCCTTTCTCTGAAGTGCACTCTGCCAAAATGGTATCAGCTTGTAGTACTCCACTCATCGGCGTCGAAGGTGGGGAGAGCGTAAGCCCGTTCCCACTCATCCGGGTGGAAGGCGGACTTTTGCGGCCGGGATGTCGTCGATAAATTTCGTTGACAGATTTCATTGGCTGCCCGTATTGCGTGTTCGGTCATCCGAAAGTCATGGCGAGGGGCCCGTGGATGATATACGGGAAAGGTACTGGTTGTTTAACATGCTGCATCTTTTGGGGCTTGGCTGCCTTAAGCGAAATGTGGTTGGCAACTGCAGCGAAGTATTTATGATTTTGCACTCCCAGCATCTGCCCGTGACAGACGGAAATCATCGGTAATGACCAATTGTTAATTAACAACTTGTCGTCCTCATTGGCGGGTTCATCTGGCAATGGGAAGGTCGATATCACATGCATGAAGTTCTGCATCCGGTCAGCCACTCTATCCGCTTTATATATCGGCACGAGGATTGGAATGGTATCGTCCCTGATGACCTGATCATGCCCTTTGTTTACTTTTGGCCTATATTTCAATGTCAATACCGTGTAGAGGGGAATGGCTCTCTGCAGTTCGTCTATGTTCTTGCGTTATTAAGTAACAGGTGAGTTTTCATGTGCTATTTCCTACGACATAGATTGATCCCCCATTTTTAAGGTCCCTTTTCCAACCCAATGTTGCCAATGAGGGATGTTTTCGATGGAGAAGTCTCTACCGTCTGTGTCCAGTATGTGTGGGTTGCCAGACAAAACAGTTGTCTTTTTTTTTTTTTTTTTTTGCCATCTCCCTCCACAATTGAATAATAAATATCCAGAGACTCCGCAATCCAATAATAGATGTCAACGGAGGGTTATGCTTCGACCATCGGCACTTCATGACAGGAAACGTCATGTATGCCATAAAGAATCTATAACCAGCGCTGGCCTCCTTTTGGCTTGTGCCACCAGCCATTTTGCTCCGGAGGCTGAGCCCTGAAAGTTACGGCTGCATCCAACCCGCATAGCTGGGAAATGTACTGGTGGATTTCACCTCACCTCGTATCGAGTAGCCTCATCTCTTTAAACTTGTCAGCGGTCTGTGTATGGTCCAGTAAGTGTTCATGGGCTTCATTTATCAAAGTGTAGATCCACTCTAGCAGGTGGACTGATCTTTTTAGAGGTCGAAGGTAAACTTCATGCATCCATACAAACATCAAGAGCAGCGCGTTTAAACCACCAGTACTTGTGCGATGCCTTAGCGTTAACGCTATGTGATTTCCGCGGCCGGCGGGCAGTCGATAAATCGAATCGACAGCCTGCGCTGCTTTGAGATTTGGGCGGCCGGCGCGGCGTGCAGTGCCCAAGTACTGGTGGATTAACACATAAAACTTCAGAAGCAAGTGAGAAGGGAAGAGAAGAAGAAAAGGAGGGAGAAAAGGAAAGCATAGACGAAACCGACATGCTTTAGTAAATCCCGAAGGAGACAGGATGGGTTCATTAAGATAATCGTAAACAACAGAGACCCATTGAGCTCGAACCGAAAATAGACGGCGCGCCCATATCAATGATGCACATGTCGAGCAAACTGGCGGACGACCGTACATGTTTCATCAGGCTGCCAGAGGTGGACTCATCAGGGGTCTACTCGTCACGAACTGAGCAAATATGTGTAGGATTGTGACTGAGGTCTTGAGCTGCTGAGGCCTGTGTGATTGCCAAACCCCATTACTTCCCCACAAGAAAAAGAAAAAACAAGTGTGGAATTAAAAAGAAAAAAAAAAGGGAAAAAGAAAGGTCTCGAATTGTTTGCCAATGAGGATTGTGCGGGTATGGGGTGTGGCAGAATTTTTAGAGGCATTTATCAGCGGGTTGGTCCTGATTACCAGGGTTTAAACCACCAGTCAGTACCTTATGCGTCGATAATATTCGGAAGCCAAGCCGGATACTTCCGCCGTTTGTAAATTTCATTGACGGTTCGGTGTCTGTTACGGTCGTTGCCGGCGATTATTTCTGCCCGCGGCTGATATGCGGAAAATGTACCGGAGGTTTAAAAGTAGTGGGCCAATTATGACCTTTGGAGCTGATTTCGGGGGGTGGGTGACTGTACACCATTATGTTAGTACCGCTTATGTTAGTACTTCCGAAAGCGGTGCCCGTTAGGAAACTTACGGGCCCCTACAGTAGTGTCCAAAATCATCTGACTACAAATATTTCTATTCACTTTTGTTTCCACGGCGGATAGCTGGGCCAAGTACTGGTTGTTTAAACCACCAGTACTTGGCACATACGTCGGCCACGGGCGGGCCGTTGTCATTAACGACCCGCAACTTCTGGGCTTCGGGGCAGCTTCAGGATGGGTTGTGTGTTGCTTTTTTGTTGGCCCAGCGTGGGGTTGGATAGATTCAATGACGCGGAGGTTTTGAGGTGCCCCTGCCATGAACTATACTGTGGATGTTGCTGGTTTTTCATGAGTGCCCGCCTTGTAACGTTAGCACTTTCTAGATTGTATCTGGCTGCAGTTGTGGGCAGAGTGGATGAATCTGAGGGCAACCACGCTCAGAGTTCGGTGTCCCTCTTCCCATTTTTTATATATTTATTTTTCCTTTTTTTTGGAAGAGTATCTGTGCTGCTTGTGCTTCCACTCCCTGTGTGAGTGATGGGAAGCAGTCAATGCGTGCCAACCGTTTCAATTCCAGTACTTCACTGTGACGTAGCACCGTCCAGCATGTATCTGGCAGCACCTCGCTGCAGCAGAGGCTGTATCTGAGGGCAATCACGTTCAGAGCTCGGTATCTCTTATCCCCTTTGTTTTTTTTGTTTTTTTTATTCGGCAGCAGTATTTGGCTGTTCATGCTTCTGCTCCCCGTGAGTGGCGGGGAGCATTCAATGCGTGACAACTGTTTCAATTCCAGGGTTTCATTGTGACATAGCACTTTTCAGAATGTATCTGGCTGCACTTCGCTGCAGCAGAGGATGTATCTGAGGGCAAACACTTTCAGAGCTTGGTACCTCTTTTCCCCTTTGGTCTTTTTTTCTTTGTCCTTTCGAAGATTCTTGGCTGTTTGTGATTTGGAGAGGCGGGGAGCATTCAATACCTGGCAGTGAGATCTTTCCAGCGCGTTTATTTATACACACAAATAACCATGGCAATACCGTGGGAAGTCGGTCGATTGTATGTAGAAAAGAAAGCAATTCAATGAACGCGAGTGCCTTCATACACCTTGTAACGACTGACTCGAAAGAGGAGAGCATGATTGATTTCATGCTAATACGCCAGTTATCACCCAATTTCATTTCAATTGAGGATCTAGTTAGTTCCCAAGGCGAGCGGCTCGACTGACTTCTAGTCGTCTTGGATCTAGCATATGAAGATGGAAAGCGTAGACAGATGACGTTGCCTTCTGCCTTCTTTCGGAGGTTTGCGAAGTTTAATATGTCCGCTTTCAAAACCGATGCCTTTCCACTTGGCTATACTTCAATGAGATAACGCGACCGACCAACGGCCTCCATGTCTTAGCTTAGAATTGTGTTTTTGTTTTTCAACTATTTGACTATACCATACAAACAACAATCGAGTATTTATGGCAAGACGACTATTGATTCTCAGAAACAAGAAAACCATCCCCTCTTTACATTCCAGCTGCTGGCAGCAGGTCCAGAATAAGGGTCGCCCCCTGCAGGCTTGGCAACAAATGTCCCATCTTGGGTCCCGCGCCTGCAGGCGCGGCAAGAATCGGTGCGCAGGGCAGATGAAGGCTCGGCTTCAATAGCTGGGCCAAGTACTGGTTGTTTGACCATGCATAATCGATAGCCAGGATGTGAAATATTCAGTTGCAGAATTCATCTGCGTGATCCATGGGTCCGTGCAGTTGCAGTCAACGTGGCCCTAGGCGGCGTTTTCGGAGGGAAGATTGGTACATAAGGTATATCCAGAAACCTTTTTGGTTTTTCGTGCCGAGACTTGTCCCCTTTGGCAAGGACCTATGGGCAATACAGGCCATTGGATGTCAGAAACTGGTGTCGGAAATTGGGTTAATGACGGTTTGACCTCATGCTACCGGAAAACGAGGAAAGTTTAGGTGCAAAAAAACAAGAAGGTTTTTGTGCGGGTGGTTTCCACTAGTTATCCTCTTTTTGAAAAGGTGAATTATATTGCCAAATCTCTTGGTCTTTATCTTGCATACTCGACTGTCCATTCACTGAGAGTATATTACTTTGTATGTTGTTTTGTGGGCATGAAAGCTATCTGGTCTTGGTGGATGAGGCAATACTAGAGGGATGTGAGCAACTTGTTGGTTGGAGATATTAGGACTATCTTACAGGGTGTTGAGAGCAGCATTATTGGTTTGTAGTTCCTTTTCTTCCCCCCAAAAGCGACATTTGGCAACGAGGAACATGGCTCTTCCCCAATTTTTAATGTACCATGGAGTGTCAAATTACGGTCAGTGCACATATACTGCTTTCAAGTTTTAATGCATTTCATTCGGTTTGGGCCTTCAGGCCATGTTCACATCGAGCACCCTATTCAATTAACCTAAGGGCGTCGTTAGACACTCCTTACGAGTTCCTTGAGCCACAAGGAATTTTCCTTGTGGCTGATAAGGGAATTTTGCGGCATCGTTCCACACATCCTTGGGGACGTCCCTCCTTGTGGCCTGCCCGCGGCCATTTTCATACGAAATTATGCGGCCGTGGGCGGGGGTGTTTGTGGTCCAGCGTTCGGTGTCCGTGTGGAGACGGCCTGGTCCAGCGGCGTTCGGCGGAAAAGGGCGTGAGGCAGGCTATGAAAAATAAAAAAAAAAAGGGGGACCTCTGCGTTTGAAATTCAAAATTTGAAGTACGGTTGGGGAGACAACGGCGATATTCGGCTTGCAGTGCGCGTACGGTGCAGGGCCGAATCGGTCTTATTGGAGGCATCCCATCCGCCCACCTCCCAGACAATGTATGTGTGTGCACTGGGTGCGCCCATCACCGTCAAGCTTCTCCTCCACATCGTCCGCGCCGTCACATGCTGTTCCGCCAGGGGGACGACATCCACGGAAAGGCAGCAACTTCTCCCCTCTCCTCGGGGTGTGAGCGCGTTACGTTTTTGGGGTGCGAGGATCGAGACGGCAGTGGAGAGACGTATCCCTGTGGAGGTGGTGGCGATGGAGTGCTGAGAGGGGGGACGTGCGCTGTTGACACCGCTTCAGCGGGCAGCCGTGGTGGTGGCCGTGTCAACTGTTGTTCTCAGCAGAAGAGGACGTTGGGACGAATGAAGGAGCAGTTGCGCACGCGTAGAAGGAGGACGCTGATGCAAGCTGCGGATGATGGCCCCAACTATGTGGCAACCTCCGAGGTTGTTATTGAGCTGTGGCGTCGGGTCGCGGCATCATTCCACTAGCGACACCGAGGTGGTGGATCAAACGCATGACGTGGGGAATGCGGGAAGAACTTCGACAATGCGACGACGCCACGGATTACTACTTCAACGAGAAGCAGTACAGCGTCGAGGAGCAGCAGAGGGACCACCAGAAGCAGCACAGCGACGAGGAGCAGCAGAGGGAGCCTGCGGTACAGGTGGGCATGAACATGAACTGCATGGAGGAGAGGGCAGCAATGCCATGTGTGTTGTTGGATGTCTAGCACGCGACGGCGGAGAAGGAAGGAGTCTTGTCGGACGTGTAGCACGTGACAAAATGCGTGGGAATACGACGCTCGTGCAGAAACCTCTTACGTGGACGGACTGAAGGCGCCGCTGGGAAAAAAATATTTTACCGATCGTTGATGCTGGCCGAAACGATGACGCTACCCGATGGAGGCCCACCGCCAACAGTAGCCGTCCAGGGCCGTTGGGGGATTACGCAGACGTTCTTCAAGTGCGGGAGACCACATGATGCCGAACGAAAACGATGACGCCTCCCGCTCGAGGCCCACCGCCAATAGTAGCCGTTGGGGGTCGCTGGGGGTCGTTGGGGGGCGATGCAGACGTTGGAGGGCGGGGATGTCCGTGCTAATGCCGCTGGACCACATCTGGATGACCCACGAAACAAAACTCTCCGTCGACGCATGTCTTCGCCACTCCGTGAATCACGGTTCCTTGAGCTCCACGTGGTCCCTTGTGGATAAGGAAATTTTCTCTGAGGGTGGCATTTTCACATTTCTTTTTCAATTTCGTCCCCAAGGACAGGTGGAACGAGCGCGTTCTTGTGGATTTCACGTCCCCAAGGAGTGTCTAACGACGCCGTAAGTCCAGCAGTAGGTGTGGTTGGGAACACCACCTGGAAGCCATGTGCTGTTTGAAATACTCTTCTCCTTTAGATGGAACTTGAGGCCTTAGGGCATGTTCACACTAGGACCTTTAATCTCACTCCACGATGACCGACGTGGGACTCACATCTAGGGAGAATTTTATACTCCATAATGACTGAAGTGGGATGTGGAAATCCCTGGTCTCAACGAGTACGCTCCTTAAACTGCTGGTACACGGCTCCTTAAACTGCATGATGACCGAAGTGGGGTGCAGGAAGTTTTTGTCGCCACAAGCAAAACTTGGAGATGTTGCGAGGCCAGGGGCACCGTTGGAAAAAAAGAAACGGCAACCTCCACAGTTTGGTGCGGGTTTCATGCTTACACCCGCGGGTTGACGAGTGGTGTACTTGTTTTTACGACTTTCCTGTGATTTCTTTTTTCTGCAAATAGTATGTGAACAGGGGGTCTGTTTAAATGTGTGAATCATGCAGCAGGTACATAAAAATTAGGGAGGTCTGTTTATATGTGTTAACCATGCAGCCACAGCGCGGGTACATAAAATTTGGGGTAAAAATAAAGAACTGAAGACGGACGTCAGGCTTGCAACATGGTTCGTGAAAGGATTTCCTTTTCTTTCTTTTGTTCGTCTTTTCCCGTAAATCGCCTCTCTCGCTTTGCAATACAGTCTACCACCTTCTTCCCTCTAATGCACCGCACAGTCATTAGAGCTGTATTTAGACTGAAAGATGCCCCGAATGCAGCTATAATGATCGTACGTTGTATGTGGGGGAAAGACTGTAGACTTGGAACAGAGACGTTCATGAGCTCTGGCAACCACAAAAAAAAAAAAAAAGAGTGCCGAGAACCACCAAAATGTTGTGAGCTGTGAGCACCGCCAAAAACTTGCCGGCGGACTTTGGAGTCCTTGAACCGATTAAGTGGATGAGAGGTCATGATTTCCATGGTGTTGTTCGCAGGGTTGGTTTGTTTTCTCCTCTTGTCACGCACTATCCGTCGTATATAAGGGCCTTGTCTTAACACTCGCGAAAATCTGATGTGAAGACGACAAAAGCGAGGGCAGGTGTACCTTCCCAAAGCCTAGTGGGAGACGTATTGAATTTCTCCGTCTTGCACATTTAGTTAGTGTTGCAAGCCCCTAATTCTTTGTGGTAATGAACATTTCTAAGATTTCTTGGGGTAGTAATAGGGGTTCATTAGGGTTCACAATATCTGTTTTTGTTTCATCTCGTTTTATGGGTCATGTTGCATGGCCCTATGCTCGTCCTTGTTGCGCTGAATGCAATGTCTATTGCCCAGTCGTTGTGGCAGTATCTAGAGTGAACCCGTATGCAGCTATCTTGATGGCCTGGGCGTTCTGTGAGATGGTCGCCCATCACACAGCTCTCCAACCCAGGGCATACTTCAGTCAAAAAACTCAGGGGTTCAACTAAGCTCCGGGCTATGATTTCCGTGAGATGCATCCACCACTGGGGCCATAATTGCAGTCAGATACGTACAGGAAAGTGGTATTGTGAGTATATAATAGGACACACCCTCAACGTCTTTTTTTTCCTTTTTGAATGGCAGGAACTGCTCCAACTCTTCAAGCTTGTGTATCCAATGGGACGCTGGACCTGGTTTCCAGCCAGGTGCAGCTCCCCACCAATAGATGGAGTGAAACGCACAGGTATGCTAGTTGGGGATGTTCATATCGCCTCAACTAGTACTACCTGCTGCAGAAAAAAGGAACGGCTCCAATTCTGGAGGTGATACGAAGATCCCCCATTATATTGGTTAGTATGGGTACAGGTGAGTCGTTTAGTAGATGCAGATAATCAGAGGTTCTGCTTGTTTCTTGTTTTTTGTTTTTTGTTTTTTGTTTTTTTTCACCGACCAGAGGGAAGTAATCTTGGTCACATTCGGTCCTGGATTGCAGTGGGAGTCTGCCCTGATCAAAAAAAGGAATCCACCTTTCTTTGAAGGGGTAAGGGCGTAGTCACACCAGGCACTCAAAATCGCAGAATCGCAGATTGAGTCGTCCTTGTAGATCGTGACTTGATCTGGCCGGTGTATCGTTATACACCGGCCAGATCAAGTCATGATCTACAAGGACGACTCAATCTGGCCGCTCATTTCGCGAGTCTGTCATTTTTTCAGGGCCTAGTGTGAGTATACTCTAACTAGGGCGAAGTCACGATTTCAGTTTTAAATATCCAATTCAGGCATCCGCCAAATACAACACATACCCACCGGACCCTAAAACTGCGTTGTACACGTTCACAATTTTCCTTGCGTGACTGAAATGCATTTCCAAACTGAAACCCAGACAGCACCCTAGTTTTCCTTTCTTCAAACCTGTCCAACTTTTTAACTCTCTTTGAGGGCATTTAATTTACTGCCACGCCACCCTGGGCTGAGAAGGCTACCCTGTCAGATTAGAGTCATTAGACATCGAATTTACCTGGGTGGGTTAGTCTGATGATAAAATCTCGAGGCAGAAAAGAGGTCTCCATTTCCATTTCCGTCTTGGCTGCTTCTTCGTGGGTCATTGCTGTGCGCTCTTCTTTGGACGGTAGCCCCCTTCCGCCCCCCCCCCCCTCTCCAGAATCAGAAAAAAAAAAAAAAAAATCTTTGGAGAGGAGTGGATGGCACCACATTTTGCAAGGGAGAGGTGACCAGACTGGCTCTTGATTTAACCTTGAAGTTTGCAGTATAACGGAACTGGACAGTGTGGGCGTCAACGTACATTCTTTTGGAGTGGGTGAGACCCAAGGGCCAGCTTTTGGGGGGGCCACAAACCCTCTCCCGTATAAGAGCATACAGCTTGGACTTCTCTGGGTGAATTGAATCTGACCACAGTCCTGAATGTATCTCACCTCGACCTTGTTCATAGCTCAGCTGAAAAATGCCCCGCAGCACTCAGACGCCGGAAAATAAACAAATCAGAGCTGGCTTCCTTTTTGCTCATGCTGCCGGGCACTTTTCTCAGGTAGGCCAACCCTTGAAACTTGCGGCTGCTGTTCCACGCCCACCTGCTCTTCGCCCAAAAATGACAAGTTTTGGAACAGGAGGCCAGGGCAAGGTCCCATGCCATCCCTTCTTGTGCTACTGTGACGGCCCTCCGTCGAACACAACGCAACGCCATTTTGGCTGTACCTCACGACAAGGTCCCACCCACCCAAAAGGAAATCAGATTTGCGATGAAGAAGATGATAGCAGCAAGTGTCGGGTGGTGATTGGCTGGGTACGCCCCAGTTTGCAGCTGCCATAACGCTTCCCATAAAAATCTCTCTCTCTCTCTCTCTCTCTCTCTCTCTCTCTCTCTCTCTCTCTCTCTCTCACACACACACACACACACACACACACACACACACACACACACACACACATGGATCACTATATATCAGTTCTCTGAGAGTCTCAGATAGCTTGTGTTCGAAACATTCTGCACAGGTGCAAAGCTATCTTCGAAACATTCTGCACAGGTGCATCATCATCGGTCTCTGCGAGCACATCCGCGTGCACTTCACTTACACACGTTCATTGCCATCATCCACCCTCACCATCGCATTCTCACGGTAAAGAACTGTCTCATCGCGCCACTGTATGCGTCGGGAAGAGTAGTTCACGGAAAGTGATGGGCGGTGGGCTTATGTTGGACAGGTCGTTGGTGATGGTACGAAATCGGGCGAGGGGATGTGTGGACATCTTTACATCCAACCTTACTTTGTTTCTGCGTGCGGACACGGGCAATGACCGTTTCGGCGCAGCGAGGCGGCAATTGCGTATGTTTGCAGCCACCTCTTGCATGGCATCATCCTCGCACTCCTCCGTCATGTCCCACAATCATCCCGCTGTCACCACGAATGATGTACCGTTCATGTCATCGGGCGAACCCCGCCATCGTCAGCAAACTAGTCATTTCAGATCACTAGTCCGCCATTTTCACCCTTCGCTATGACCTGTCTTCCGCTGACGCCACGTCTTTGGGGATAGTAGCCTGCATGACGGCCTGTCGTAGCATTTCCTCGTGCAGTTCATGAAACATGTCATACGGAGAACACACTAGCATTCGCTTCTCCGTCCGGCAACCATGCTTCGTCCACAGACATCGACGACCATTGCATTAACCGTGTTTCTCAATCATGAATATGCCCCGCGATCAACCCCCCCTCCACCATCCTCCTTTGTCGGTTATCCGCGCCAGGAGGTCTTCCTCCCATTGACGTGTCCACCGGTTCCTGAAGTGACAAGTCACTTCGCTCGGATATTCGCCATGTGGGCTTCTCTTCATTAGTACGCGAAAACGTCATTCAGATATCTGCTTT